TCGGGCTGGGGAGTGCTGAAGCTTAGTGGCCTGCTCGGTCGTGGGATTTCAGGTCCAACCCGCGTGACTCCTGCAGACCGCTTCCCCCACCTTAGTCAGAGGTTTTGCGCTGCACCAGTCTGGGATGACTGTGGCGGGATAGGCGCGGTTTGAGGCAAGCTAGAATGCTTCAAAGGAGCACTACTGGTAGCGTAGTGCTTAAGGCAAGTAACTGCTAAGCAGAAGGCTGGCGGTTCAAACCCACCGGCCACTCCTCGGGAGGAAAATGGGGCAATCTATTTCCGTAGTGATACTGCCTCGGAAACCCAAGGAGAGGTCGCTGTGAGTCGGGTCGGACTGGGCAGCACATAACAACAACAAAAAGAATGTTTCAAAACCTGGCTTTCAGAGAATCAATCTTCTGAGCTCGGTATGCCCAAGCCGAAGAGCCTCCTTGAAACCTGTATGCCCCCTGCAGGTTCCTGGGCCGTCAGTCCTCTTTGCATTCACTGCTGTGGTCTTAAAGACCTAATTTCTTGGATTAAAATGCTAAAGTCGCGTGATCTCCCCGCCCGCCTAGGATCTTTCTGCCCTGGCGAACCGAAACTAACTTGTTTCTGTAACTCCTAGCGCACTACTGGGCGAAAGGAAGCCTTTCCAACGGCCTTTCTGAATAACTTTTTAAAATGTGTGCAGTTGCACTCACAGGTCAGAGACACGGTGGAGTGGATCGTGAATTGCATTCTGAAGAGGGAGTAAGATATTTGCAAACATTTTTCTGAACTATCTTAGTAGTTCCTTCTTTGCAAAAGAGACAGTGTTCATGTTAATGTTGAACTTATGGTAGCTGACAGCTTTTGCTGTTTAAATTTGGAACTTTGAGCAAATGTGAAATTAATAGGCTCTAAAAGTTCAAATTGGACCTAGAGATTATACCACAGTTACCAAAAAAAAAAAAAAAAAAAAGTCCCAGTGCAGTCCACTCCAATTTATGGGGATCCTAAGTGTGTCACAGTAGAACTGTGCACCATAAGGTTTTCAATGGCTGATTTTTCATATTGGGTAAAAGTTACTGAAAAATAAGATCTACTCCCAACCCAGAAAATCTCTGCACAAAATTAGAAGAAAAAGGAATTTATTGTTGAATAAACATTATACCAGAATGTAATTTATCACAGGCAATCTGTTAAAGAAATTGCAAAGCAGAAAGGAAACTTAACCATTGTATAACTAAGCAGCTGCAATCCACTGCTTACATATTTTCAAGATAATTTTGTTAATTTTCTAGTATCTTTATGGCAGGAGGTAGATTTAGAATTTGAGGTTGGGCCACCTGAGGTAATGCTGATTCCTTCCAGGAAACAGGAGGGTACAAAAAGGATCACCTGCAGTTAGTACCATAATGCCTAAGGCACTTGTCTGCTAGCCAGAATGCTGGCAGTTCAAACCTACCAGCCATTCCTCGGAAGGAAGGTTGGGCAATCTACTTCCATAGTGATAGTGCCTGGGAAACCCAAAGAGGGGTCTATGAGTCGGGTCTGACTCCAGGGCACATAACAACAACAGCAGCAGTTGAAATTCAAAGAGGTAACTGCCAGATCCTTGAGGAGACATACTAGATTTACAGACTTTTCAAACAGAAAGAATTTATGATTTCAGTTTACAGTAAATTCTGAAAGAACTAGGGAGGAGCCTCTTCCCTTATTTTCAGCAAGGATAATTAAAACCTCCTATTTCAATTTGTATTTTTCCTTATATTTTTAAATTGATCACCAGCCTTTCTTCCTAGCCACCTCCAGGTGAACTTCACCCACCACCACAAATGTACTCATCCCACCATTTTGGTATTGCTAGGTGCCATTGAGGAGCTCTGGTAGCATAGTGCCTAAGGAACCTGACTGCTAACCAGAAGGCTGGTGGTTCAAACCCACCAGCCACTCCTCGGAAGGAAGATGGGGCAATAATCTACTTCCGTAATGATACTGCCTCGGAAACACAAGGAGGGGTAGCTATGAGTCGGGTCCGACTTGAGGGCTCATAGCAACAACAACATTGAGTTGGTTCTACCTCATAGCAACTCTGTGTACACAGAACAAAACACTATCTACTCCCACTCCATCCTCATAATCATTGCTGTGTTTGAGCCCATTGTTGCACCCACTTTCTCAGTCTGCCTTGTTGAGGATCTTCCTCTTTTTCACTACCCTCTACTTTACCAATCATGGTGTTCTTCTCCAGGGACTGGTCCCTCCTGATAACATATTCAAAGTACGTGAGACCAAGTTTCACCATCTCACTTCTAAGGAGCATACTGGCTATACTTGTTACAAAACAAATTTGTTCATTCTTCTGGCAGTTAGTATTATTCACCAACACTACAGTTCAAAGGCATCAATTTTTATTCATTTTCCAGTTTTCGCATCCCTATAAGGTGATTGAAAAATCCCATGGCTTGGGTCAAGTGAACCTTAGTCCTCAAAGCGACATCTTTGTTCTTTAACACTTTGAGGAGGTTTTTTGCAGCAGATTTGCCCAAATAATAACATACTGTGATTTTTTGACTCCTGCTTTTATGGGCATTAATCGTGAATCCAATAAAAATGAAATCCTTGACAACTTCAGTATTTCCTCAGTTTATCATGATGTTGCTTATTGGTCCAGTTGTGAGGACTGTTATTTTCTTTACATTGAGATGTAATCCATACTGAAGTCTATAGTCTTTAATCTTCGTTTAGTAAGTGCTTCATGTTATATTACTTTCAGCAAGCAAGGTTGTGTCATCTGCATGTCACAGTTATTAATGCCTAGTGCCATGTTCTTCATATAGCCCAGCTTCTCAGATTATTACTCAGCATGTGGATTGAAAAAGTATGGTGAAAGAATTCAACGCTGACGCACACCTTTCCTGATTTGAAACCACACAGTATTCCCTTGTTCTGTTTGAAAGGCTGACACTTGGTTTGTGTACAAGTTCCTCATGAGCACGATTAAGTATTCTGTAATTCCCATTCTTTGCAATGTTATCCACAATTTTTTATGATCCACAGTTGAATGCCTTTGCATAGTCAATAAAACACAGATGAACTTCTTTCTGATGTTATTGACTTTTAGCCACGATTCGTCTGACAACAGCAATGATATTCTTTAATCCACGTCCTCTTCTGAATCTAACTTCAATTTCTGGCAGTTTCCTGTCCATGAGGTGTTGCAACCATTTTTTAATTATCTTCAGCAAAATTTTACTTGTGTTTGACATTAATAAGGAGCTCTGGTGGCATAGTAGTTAAAGCATTGGGCTGCTAACCACAAGGTTTGGGGTTCAAACCCACCAGTCACTCTGTAGGAGAAAGATGAGGCAATCTACTTCCTTAAAGATTTACATCCTCCGATGGGGCAGTTCTACTCTGTCCTAAAAAGGGTCTCACTAGGAGTCAGAATCAACTCATTGGCAGTGGTTTTGGGTGATATCAATGATATTGTTCAATAATTTACTCGTTCTGTTGGATCACCTTTCTTTGGAATGGGTACAAATATAGATCTCTTCCAGCTAGTTGGCCAGGTAGCTGTCTGCCATATTTCTTGTCATAAACGAGCGAGTACTTTCAGTGTTACATTTGTTTGTTGGAACATCTCCATTGATAGTCCTTCAATTCCTGGAGCCTTGTTTTTTCCACCAATGCCTTCAGTGTAGCTTAGACTTCTTCCTTCAGTACCACTGGTTCTTGAACATATACTACCTCCTAAAATGGTTGGATGATGACCAACTCTTTTTGGTACAATGGCTCTGTGTATTTCTCCCATTTTCTTTTGATGCTTCCTGCATCATTCAATATTTTGCACATAGAATCCTTCAGTATTGCAACTAGAGGCTTGAATTTTTTCTTCAGCTTAAGAAATGCCAAGCATGTTCTTCCTTTTTGGTTTTCTAACTCCAAATCTTTGCACATTTTATTATATTACTTTGTCTTCTTGAGCTGCCCTTTGAAATCTTCTGTTCAGCTTTTACTTCATCATTTCTTTCATTCGCTTTGTTGTTGTTATGTGCCGTTGAGTCGGACCCGACCCATAGCGACCCCTCCTTGGGTTTCCGAGGCAGTATCATTACGCAAGTAGATTGCCTCATTTTCCTTCCAAGGAGTGGCTGGTGGGTTTGAACCGTCAGCCTTCTGGTTAGCAGTCAAGTGCGTTAGGCACTAAGCTACCAAAGCTCCATTCACTTTATCTACTCTCTATTCAAGAGCAAGTTTCAGAATATCTTCTGACATCCATTTTGGTCTTTCTTTCATTTGTGTCTCTTT